AATTTACGAACATTTATTTTTACAATATTCTAGTATCGAAACGTTCTATTATCTAATCATTGTATTATTTGCGTACATTATCGCCTAGTGGAGAACTTGAATGAGATTTCTAGATAATAGAATGTTTTGGTATCAGGATATACCAATTTTATACGCATAAAATGCACTCTGTTATATAAAATGGAAATACTATAAGTCAGAAAAATTATTTTTAATTTACAGTTGATATGGCCTCGAATGCAAAGGGTTAATTGTTTAGCCGAATTAAAATCGAAGAGTTCAGTTGTATCGCAAGATGCGATATCTAAAGACTGAACAAATTTAAATAATAATAATTTATTTATTTCGTTATTTCAGTCTCATGTTAATCTTTCATTTCTCCTGTTCACTCGCCCGTCACTCCCATCACTCAAAATCTGTTTTCATCGATAGAATTTAAATATAATATTATATTAAATATAATTATCCGAAGGTTTATTTTTATAGTATCCTGATACCAAAACATTCTATTATCTAGAAATCTCATTCAAGTTCTCCACTAGGCGATAATGTACGCAAATAATACAATGATTAGATAATAGAACGTTTCGATACTAGAATATTGTAAAAATAAATGTTCGTAAATTCTGTTTTGGAAACAAAATGTTTCGAAAAGTTTATCGCTTTACTGTCGACTACACAGATAAAACATTCAATTTAAAACAGTTGTTATTTGCAAAAAGAAAATCGAGATCACCTACATTTTTTTCAAATGGCATCGCATATTCTTTACTTCATATCACTGTAGTTCGTGTCGAGACGTTCGTGTCAAATGTGTTAATTGATGTTGCAACTTTAAAAGCGTAGTACCGACAGCAGAATTCACTGATCTCGATTTCCTTTTTAAAAATAACAACTGTTTTAAATCCAACATTTTATCGTGCAGACGACAGGAAACCGATAAACTTTTCGACACGTTTTTTTTGTCGGATTAACAGAACTGCTCGAGAAACTGTATACAAAAGGAATCATCCTGTATAATAAATAGACTCGTGGATTTGATGCATTCATGGCAAGGATAAGTAGGCGAAATATAAATTTGCAAAGATTTCCAGAAAGAACGTAAGTCTGCTGTTGTATTATGTTTGACGTATTATCGCCAGTATTAAATAAAGTTAAACAAAAATTTAATCTTCTAATCTCACGGTTGACACGGTAACATTTTATTTCGCATAAAGATCCGCTAATAATAAACATGCAACGAAGAATCTAGTCTAGAATAAGCCGGGCACAGGTCATTCAATCGATCATATCGTTACGAATATTGCGCAGATAATGTAAATTTTCCCAAGGAACAATAAACGTTTCCTGGACAAAGGAGAACGGTCGGCGAACATGATCGATTTGTCAAGCTACAAAACTCTATTAATGTAATCCACGGGATCGTTGTCCGGGCGTTTCATACTCGATTGAACGTCGAACGTTCTACTGAATATTCCGGTTTATATCCGAGTGGCGATCGCCTCCTTTACGATGTTTTTTTATGCCCTCTAAATCGTAACGACCGCTCCGACAAAAGGATAGAAGCTGTAAAGGGAGTCAATGCGCTGATAACGTCGTGGATAAAAAAACGTCGATATGAATATTTCATGAAGCGCTGGTGGACAGCGCCCGGTATTAAATGCTGTCCCGCGATCCCTCAATCTGGATCCGGGCGACCGGGCGAATCGTCCACGGTATTAATTAGGACGACTCCCATAATATCTTGTATCTCGTCGGCGATTCGCTTAGAATCGGCTTACCGTAAATCTGGATAATTTAACGGCGTCGGTATGTCAGAAGGCGACCGACCCGTTTCCATTATCTCGCGGCGGACGCAGTAAATAGTTATTGGTCGGTTCGCGCTGCTCTTCCACTCCGTAATTAGGTTGCATAGTAATGAGTTTAAAACGTTAATTATCCGGGTCGCCGCTGGAGGCGGCGCGGATATGTGAAACATTCATCGGCGCGCTAACATTCGCGCAATCGACAGCTCTTATTCGCGGCTGGCATTGAAACAATTCGGCGTGAAGTTCGAAAACTATGAAATCTTTTGTGCGGTCGTCGGCGAATTGAATTCGCGTTGTCGAACGCGATCCATTGCGTGGGCCGGCTGGTTCACCTTTCCCGAAAACACAATCGCCGCCTTTATACACGTTGGAACAATTCGGTTGATAATTGTTTGATATCCATTTAACCGATCGTTATAACTAGTGCTCCGAATAATCACATTACCGCGAATGGTAATTCGGGATTCTGTAATCAATATTGGCGACGAAAGTGTGTTACGCGCGGGATTCCAGCGAAGCACACCGAATAGAACCGCCGCGGAAGATAAGAATCGTTCTTCCCCGAAATCTCCGATCTCAGGCCGGGCTTCCGTGATCCATAGAATTGCTGCCTAATCACCGGCAATTGCTACCTAATCTCTCTTAGTATTTCGGATCCAGGAGGGGCTCTCACGATCCATACGTGTCTTTGAAATCTTTCCGGGTCCACGAAGATTCAAGATGGCTCTTTATGCGAGCCTCGGAGATCTTTGAATTCCCCCGGAAAGTTTCAAGAACCCTTGATTTCGTCTTGAGATCTTAAGAAATCTTGGGGACATACCGAGGCTCTCTTAAGATCGCCTAAGAACCGAGGAGATCGGGTTCTTCAACGTGGTGTTTCCAGTTCTTCGTTATTTTGATTGATATAGTAACTAGACGCCGGATGTATTCGTGTAAATTAATTATTCTGTCGATTTATGTTGGTGACCATGTTATTTTATTCGAATCCTTTCAGCGTCGATCAAAAGGGTTGCGTGTACCTGAGCGAAAGATACTAAACCTGTTTGACGTAGTTTGGTAAAGATTCGGAAAGAAATTATGAAAATTTTGTAAAACATGATAATTAGAAAATTTTTAAAGCAATTCAAAAATAAAGCTTCTATTTATTTAAGAAACGGAGAAAATTACATTTCTTCAAGTCCAACCAACGACGATATATATCGGTGTGCGGCACAAAAAGAGTTAAACCCGAAAATCTTCCGGTTAGGAAAAGAAATTTTTGGAGAATTGGAGAATCTTGGAGAATTAGAATTTGCATAAAGATTCACAGTCTATTTTTTTCTTCACTTATACTTATGTACGTACCTGAACGCTTCTCTTAGTCTGCAAGCGTATTTGAAGCGTGTCTCCTTCGGAGCTCGAATCTCGAAGCCCAGCGTTTTAATCATCTTACCTTCCTTGTAAGTTGAGAGTGCACTTGATTGTCTTCTGCTGTAAATGTCTTCTTCCTTGAATAAATAATATTCGATCATAGATCTTGAATTGATAATGTTCTCTTCCATTCATCCTACTTCAGGGGATAAAATGCTCTATAACAAATTGTTGGTTATAGACAATACCAGCAGTAATATTTCATATTACGCGACCTAATTACAATAAAAATGAATTTCGAAACCTTGTTAAGAATTAATGTCGCCGATGCGCAGAGTTGGACAAATTTTATTTTAATCAATAAATTGCAAATTACAAAGTAAATTAATATTTCATTTGCAAATAATAATTAAATTTTATATTTAATTGAAATGTCATTTGAATAATTCCGCAAATAATTTATTTCTTATTTGAAAATAAAATGCTATTCTTTATTTGGATTTTATGGAAAGACAAATAATACATAATTTTTGCCTCTCTTTCGTCCGTTGTATATTATACAATGGATGTCTTGTGCATTACTTTTGCAAGTGAAATGATATTTTTCAGTCGAATTTAGATGATAAGCAAATTACAAGCAATTTCGTTTCTCGTGTAATATATATTAATTCCTATTTATTATTATAGTCTTTTCCTGACCATGACTCGTGCTCGACGCGTTGTACCAAACAAATAATGAATAATGTACAATAAGCAACAATTAAAATTGTATTTATGAGTAAGAAATAAATTTTACTAATTTAATCAATTTATTCGGAATAATTGATAATTCATTTCGTCTTTTATGCGAACTACACGTAACAGCAAATAATTATCTACTTAAATAATCATTTAAATGAACATTTATTTAAATGATGACCACTTCTACCAATATGCGATTTACACGGCACTCAGTGCGTTAAAAAGCGAAGATCGAGTACCGCGTCTCCGATGATTAATTGAAACCAGCACGGCAGCATTCAAAATTATTGGATTTTGGGTTGACGAGATTCGAAGTTACGGATCAGATTCCGCGCTCATAGTGAGATTAGCTGTCGCAGTAGATTGCAAGTGTTGTCCTGCCAGTGCGACGTTAAGCACACGAGCCATCGGTGGCGCCATCAGCAATGAACCGAACGAGATAAGGGTAGCATCCAATTTTCAGCAGTGCCGCCATGGGACCGTGGGCACCTTCGATGCTGTTGGCGTAGCCAGCCCGGCTGAAATATCGTCTTGTAAAATATGAAACTGGCCGAGTTCCATCGCGGACGCTGCGACGGCGTACGTCCGGCCCGAAGAGAAATAGCTACATCGTTTCTCGGTTAAGGGAAGAATGGGAAGCTAAAAGAACAACAGCCGCTGCGACCTCTCCCCTTTTATTATCGGCCGAGGCTTCCATCGACTTCTTTTTTTTTCGGATTTGCCGGAAAGTTCGCCGTGATGCGCTTTCACCCGTTCCAAATGAAATATCTGCGGGTCCGAGGCTTTGACGGAGGAACAGGATGCTTTCAGGACCCGAGGTAAAGATCTCACCCCTCTCCGGTTGGAGATCGATATCGTGTTTGTTTAAAAAAAGGTATCGCGGTAGGCCTTATCTAACGACATTCGCGCACATTGTAGAGAAAAGTGGCCAAAATTTTGCATTCTAAAGTTCCGCGATTGGTGTACCGAAACAATTCTTTGTGTACCTGTAAGCACTAGAGACGACGATATTCGGAATCGATCTTTTCGAAACGATTTTCGATAGTTTTGTAATCGTATTAATCGATCCTGACATTTTTAGAATAAAAAAAGATAAATAAATACAGCAAAATCCGAACGATGGTCCTTCAATTTTGTTGAGAACCATTCGATTTATTATCCTGATTATTACAACTACATTTTATTGCTATTATTACAATATTATAATTAAATGAAATTAAATAACAAGTAAGAATAAGGAGACGAATGTCTTTAACTTCGAATAAAAGGAATGATTAATTATTGTTAAAGTAGAGAGTATTGGCATACGCGTTTTGCCTCGCTATATTGCAGAACGACGATGTAAATGTTCACAAATAAATAAGAAGATCGTGGTATCGTTTACAAACTCGCGGAACTTTTTCTACACAACGTATTTACAAGCTGGCTTACGTGAAAGCTCGATCGATTCGCGCCCGATCGTCTAAATCCGGGGACCCATCAGCTTCATCAAACGTCTCTGGATTTCTTGCAAGGACAGTCCCTTGGTCTCGGGCACACAGAACGTCACGAACGGCACTCCGGTGAGCAGCAGCAAGCCGTAGAACAGATAGACGAACCGGTTTGTCATCAGCTCTAGCAGCGGTAGATAGGTTATCGTGGAGATGAAGGAGGTGATGCCGGCGACGCAGCTCCCGAAACACGCAGCGATGCACTTGAGGTGCGGCGGGAACAGTTCGCCGATGATCGCGGGAGGCACCGTGAGCACGCCTACGAACACGGCAATGTTCAGGAACATCATCGCGAAGATCGAGAGTCCCTCGAGCGCCTTCGAGTGGACGTCGAAGCTCAGCAGCTGGAACACGATGGTCAGGCAGCCGAGTGCTACCGCGAGGCCGATGCAGGATAAGATCATCAGCACCTTCCGGCCGCACCTGTCTACCAGGATCGTGGACACGCCGCAGCCGACGATACCGGTCACCATCACGATGATCACTACCACCGCGGGGTTGATCACGGTCACCTCGGCGTCCTTCAGGATCGTCTCCATGTAGAACATCACGTTATTTATCCCGCACATTTGCCCGTACGAGACCAGCACTATTACCAGGAGCAGCGATTTCACGTAGCACGGTTGCTTGAACTCCGTCAGAGACTCCACGAATCTCTGGCTGGTGCAGTTGTCGACGAACTTCTTCAGGGACTGGAACTCCTGCTCCACGTCGCAGTCGCGGTGGTACCACCGGATCGACGCCTTCGCTTTCTGGTCCTGCTTCGTCTTGATCAAGTGGTGAGGCGACTCCGGCAGCATCACGAACAGGATCATCACCGCCAAACAGGGCACCAAGCAGATGGCACTCGACGCCGTCATGGACAGGTACGGTCCCATCGTGCACATCACGAAGCTCCCTGCCGGGATGCCGGTCATGCTTAGAGAGACCAAGGCGCCCCGGATGCTCGGATCGGCCATCTCGGCTAGGTAAAGCGGGAAACTGCTGTACACCATACCCAAGCTCAGCCCGCCGAACGACCTTGACATGTACAACCACCACACGTTGTCCGCCACGATCACGAACAACCAGCACAGGGCTATAGGCACGCTGATGATCAGAAGCGTCGTCTTGCTGCCGAAATAGTTGACGCAGAGCGCGCCGGTGAACGCGCCGAACAACCTGCCGAGGTTCAGCAGAGAGATCACCCAGGACAATTCCGCCGTGGACAGCGTGAACGAGGAGTTCTCGGACGTTAGGTCCGCGATGTACGGCGACGACCAGCCTCCCATGAACCCGAATTGGGCCAGTAGGAGCGAAACTGCGGACAAATTGGAAATCGATGGTTTGTCGGAGGACTGGGCTACTCGGCTGGAAAGTACATTATGGCAAGTTCCGCGGCAGAAGCGAGGTTTTCTTCGATCTTTCCCGGCACTTAGCGCGCTTCCCGTTGCACGACTATTTGCTCTGCTTATTAACGGTTTTATTCCGCCGGTTTTACGGCACCTCGCGAAACTGAAGTGGATGGCTCGGAGGTCCGTGGCGTCCGGGAACGATTGCGAACGTTAGATGGTTCTAGTGAATATCGTGGATTTGTTCGAAGCTATAGGAAAATCCGATTATTTGTACCTCGAAGTTTTTACGCGGTTTGAAAAATTGTTGCGAGAATTGTTATATCGTGCTCTAAAAGAATTGTTACGTTTGTATTTAAAAGAAATTGTTAACGGTGTTAACTGTTAACAAGTAACAAAACTCATTTTCATATGCATTGAAGTGCATACAGGACGTCGTATGCAATGGAATGCTGTAGATAAACTATTTTGAATTTAGAGTTTATTCTTTGAGATCCTAATTGTTTTATGACGTTTCTCAGTGGTTATCGTTATATTTTGTTCCTTTGTCGAGAGAAAGTACCATGAATCAGTTGTTAAACAGGATAAAATTTTCTTTTCATTTTCGAGCATTCATGCAGTTTGCTTTGGAAACTTGTAAAGAGAAACGATTGATATATCTTCCTCACAGTAATAAACAGGGCTGGAGAGAAATAGATCTTTAAAATAGTAAATAGGCTATAAATATTTTTAAATAATATATTAATACATAAAATATATTTGAAAGGATATTTCCATATAGAACTACTATTTCAAGAAAAAGCAAATTCTGTGTTATATGTATAATATAGTATATAATATATAATATATAATATATAATATATAATATAATATAATATAATATAATATAATAT